ATTTTTGAATAACTCTTTAGACGTAATAATTTCTAAGAAAATAATGTACATTAACTGATTGTAGCTTTTGTTACTCGCTGTCCTGTCCCTTCTAATGCTTTCATGTTTGAGTAGTCGGAATGATGTAACTGAAATGGCTAAAAGAATCTTAAGATAAGATCTTTGTATATAGAAAAAGAATGTTCATGTGCTCCATCCCAGTTGTAAGTTTAAATATTGCCGCCCTAAATTTCTAGCCAAATTGTGTATAGTGGGGAATGATCAATAGGTGGTGATTACTCCTTAGCTTCTCCACCTTTTCTCAATTAGGCAACTAGATTTTTCTAGCACCTTTATGTAAAAAAGAAAATTAAAATCTAAGAATTACATAGAGAATAAATTGCGTTTCAGGATTTAAAAAATAAACTCTTAACAAATACCAAACTAATATATTGAAATTTCTCTGTAGCTTTTGCTTGATTTTTTGGAGCTTTTTGTTCTGTCATTGAGCTTTTTAAGAAAGAAGAGAAAAGTTTCTTTTAGTTTAAATTGATGTCCTATGTTCACTCATGTTGTCTTGCCGAAAATGTGGCATGAATGAAATATAACTACATGATTTATAAGCCAAAATGCATACGTTGTTTTTGATTTTCTGTTCTTTATTTATTTACCTAGCATTCATGTTTGAGAAAAAATTGGCTGGCAGGAGGTATTTATCCAAATAAGATGGTGGTTCAAAATGCATCTGCTGTTTATTAGCTTTCTATTCTTTATTTATATATCCAACATTAATGTTTGAGAAAAAGTTGAATGGCAAGAGGTATTATTCAAATAGAATGGTGGCTCAAACTTAGGAGTAGGGAATGTGTTCTTGACGGCTTTATTTTATATTTCATGCTTTAGTATTTCCTTACAATTTTGCAATGAAGTGTGGCAAAAACTACGGGTGCGTTACCTGTGATTTAACAAGATTGTCATCCTACTATTTACACAAAATGTTATTAAATTCTAATATGATTCCTTCTTGGCAAATCTGATTGATATTTACTATTTAGATAGCTGGAACTTGGAAGCTAATGGAAGCTCATGGAGTTTTGTCATGAATGCTTGATACTTTGTTTTATCCTTTCCAATATCTTTACCAAAAGTCATTATTTACTCAACAGCCACTTGCTATAGTATAGATATCAAACTCTGTGATGATTTTTTTTTTTGAAATTTTGACCACTAATACATAGTTCCACTATAATTGGCTGATTGAACGCGACGCTAGATAAGAAAAGACGAGAGGCATTTCTAGATATAGCAGTCAATATTTCTGGATGAATGTATCTTATATCTTAAATTGTAACTTTTCACAAGTAATGAGATGCATCGTACAATTGGAGAGCTTACCTCAATTATGTGTTATTATGCTCTTCAACTTTATTAGTATTATTTCTTTTCTTAATTGAAATGTTGACAAAATGCTTCATTATCTACCACATATAGAAAATGATAAAACAATAAATTTGAGTTGGAAAAATAAAGTCAATGAGGGCTTTGGTCATATTAGCCTTTTAACTTCCCACTGGGCATATTAAACTTGTAACTTCACACCGCACATAGTGCGGTGTTCCTCTCCTAGTTTAGCAACCAACGTGCTTCCCACTACAACAACTATTTATATACTTGATCAATTTAACAAGTAATAATTAGGGATAATTTCAGAAACCTCCCCTAAGGTTTCTAACAGTCTCACTACCCTCCCTTGAGGTTTTCCAAATATCAAAAACCTCCCCTAAAACTAATTAGCTAGTAACAAATCAGTCCAATTCAAATACAAAAATAATATAAAATTAGTATTAGGAGAGAAAATATAATTTTATTCCATAACTACCCTCGAATTTTGCATTAGGTAATTAATTTACTATGAACAAAATCTATATATATATATATTTATTTATTTATTTATTTATTTTATCTAATGTAAGGGGGTGAAAGTGAAATTGCTTACAAAACTAAGGCTTCAACTTCAAGATTGTGTAACTATTATTGCATTCATAGAATGTAAATAAAAGTTCAACTTTCTAACTCTACAACAAGTTTAACAACTCAAAATCTCATCTACATATTTCATATGTAATATCATACTATTACATCTATTATAACATATTAGTTGCATAATTTGCTTCGAACTCTGTCAATAATTATCTTAACATCTGCAATCAAATAATAAAAATTTTCAAAATTTAAGAGCTAAAAAATTTTAAAGGCTAATCTTGAGATTTTCACAATCACCAAAATTTTGAGAGCAAATTTCCTCTTCAAACCTTCTAAATCCTTAGATATGCTTAAAGAAGCTCTATTTCTCTTATTCCACAAAAATCACTAAAGTTTGAATCATTACTTCTATTCATGCTCATCAATTATCAATCACAAAAATGTGCTATATTTGCCCCCTCCTTTGTAATGGCATATTAGAAATTTTTTTAAAAAACTTATAAATTGTCATTATTTATATTAAACCTAGTTAATAACAATTTAACTAATCATGTGAATATAATTGAGGAATATTTCTTAAATTATGTGGGTAATTAAGTCATTTCTTTATGATTGATATAACAATTGGACCCCAATGACCTGATAAGGGAGGTTTCTAATATTTTAAAAATCTCAGAGGAGAGCAGTGAGATTGTTAAAAACCTCAGGGGAGGTTTATGAAATTATCCCTAATAATTATCAAGTTGGCTTTATTTGAAAAGCCATTGTCCACCAAAAAAATTTCTATATTTTTCATATTCCAATCATTTTTTATCTCACGTATATCAAATTACACAATATATTTTCTAAAAAAATTCAGAAAAATTGCAATCCAAACATGATTATTTTCTTCAACCCAAATTAATATGTCAGGGGTGTTTTTCATTGGTGTTGGGGTATATCTAAATTTTCCAATCGTAACCTTACTCAATCACAAATTCAAAACCCGATAGCATCCATAATTCTTAATTATGCTCTTAGAACTAAAAGATAGAACCAATCTAATTAATATTCAATTTTATATTTATTTATTCGAACTTGGTTCGAAAAAATTAAATGACAAGAAATAAAAAAATGAAGGGTAAATTACACATAACTCCTTTATAGTTTCATCTATTGGGCCTGTTTGGAAGTCAAGTTTTTGGACAAGTTTTTTACCTACTAGTTTTTTAACAATTTTTGCTACAGGAACCCCAAAAAACTTCTTAAAGTTTTTTCCCTACACACTTCAAAAATTTAATACACAAAAAATTTTCCAAAAACTTTTCTTCTTTTTCCTCCCTCATCCAACCCACCATGCCAGCCACCACCTCCACCACCTGTACCGCCGCCGGCCATCTCAAAATTTTTTTTTTCTGTACCTCACCCTCACCCTCTCTCCTCTGCAGAAAGAGGAGTAACGCTGTTGTTTATGCCGGGGGTTGGGCCGACTGTCTCTCTTTATTTATTGTTTTTTTTTTTTTTAACAAATCACCCAAAGTGGAGTTAGGGTTGGGGGGATCCGTTATTTCCATGGCGGGCATGGAAGGAATTGCAGCGGCGGGAGGAACTGGAATTAGAAGTGGAAGTGGAATAGGGGGAGGAGGAGGAGGTGTCTCAGTCTCAGAGGGGGGGAGAGGAGAAAAGCAAAAAAAAAAAAAAGAACAGAGCCAAGCAGGGGCATGGAGGTCGCGCGACTGCGCGCGCGTTACGACTGGAGTGCGCTGTGGAGAAGGCACACCAGGAGCTGGGCTGGCTGATGCGCGTGCGGAGGAGGTCAGGGGCGCTGGCGCTCTGGTGCACCTGCGTTTCTGGTCGAAGAGGCGCCGGAGGTGGTGGTCGGCGCTCCAAGAAACAAGGGGAGGGAGATGGGGGAGGGGGTGGCAGGGCAGAGGAGGTGGCGGGGCAGCGGGGGAAGGGGTGGCGTGCAAAGGGGAAGGGGAAGAGGGAGAGGAGGTGGCGGAGCAGCTGGGGAAGGGGCAGCGGGGGGAGGGGTTGGCGTGCAGAGGGGAGAGGAAAGGCAGAGGAGAGGAGAAAGGGAAAGGGAGGAGAGGGGTGGCGGGAGGGGGAAGGAAGAGGAAGAAGAAGAAAGAAAGGAAAGAAAAGAAAAAGGAAAGAAAGAAAAAAAGAAAAGGGAAAAAAATTTCACATCACAAAAACTTCTACAAAAATTTTTACCTTACAAAAATTTCTACAAAAAAATTTTTCACCTTTCAAAAACTTCTACAAAATTTTTTCAAAAACTTCTACAGTGTACTACAGTAAAGTTTTAGACAAACTCTCAAAAAACTCAGGTTCCAAACAGGCCCATTATCATATGACCTTTTTAACGTTTAAAAATGTCCAATTTATTCCCATATTTTTTTTATTGCAACGGTAGAATTCCTATAACCTAATCTAGTTTAATCTAGGGGGAGGGGAGGAGGACTCGATATGAGTAGAGACTCCATCAAAGAAAACCAATTAAGACCGCCACATGTTGTCCAATTCATCCCCATGTGATATTATGTAAAATAGAGTTTAACTACATTGTATAAAAGTATAGAGAAAATATGTGAATAAATACAAAAATTACATTAGGTAAATTAGATATTTATACAAAATATAAGGAGGTTACATAAATATTAAAATTTTATCAAACATGCTTTTAGAAATAATTTGATATGACCGCAGTAACTGATCATGCATTTCATTCATTTTTCAATTTACATAAAATTATAGGAGGGTTATGTAACTATTTTAAAACTTTAGGGGTGTCATATGATATTATATAAAATTACAAGGGATAATAAATAATTTACCCAAAAATCAACATAATGGCAAAAAACTACAAATAAGGACACTTTGTGGTGGATTTTAAAATCCAATGAATTGTAGGTTTTTACTTTTCATACTCCCAGAAATTTGAACCAGGAACACCACTGAAATGTTTTGGATTTAGGAATACCGTAACCTTTAATCCACTACTACTCTGTCACACACGCACAATATAAGACCCGCAGCTTACATACTTGATGCTTGATCACCATTAATTCTGGCGGCAAATAGCGTGTTATTAAGGTTTCAGTTCACACACAAAACAGAGCGTGGAAACGGAGGAGATCGGAGGGCTAGCGGCCCGCAGGCCCAGCAGCAACTCCTATCACCATTTTCTGTCGTGGGAGCATGTCTACCCTCTTCCGCCGCCGCTCACTGGCGGCTTACGTCTACGGCCATGTGCTGAACTCCCATAAGGTCCACACTTCAACAGCTCCACTGCTGCAGGAAACCGGTCTCTACGGTTTCAACCACTTGAAAACTCCCAAAGGCTTCCGACGCTTTGTTGAGGACGCCATAGAAAGGTTATAAATAACCTCCAACTTAAAACTGGCATAAGAAAGAACTGAAAATTCTTGATTTCTTTTATATTTTTTTTGGTAAATAAATGATTGCTAAAGAATATTATCAGGTCAAATGAGCTCGTCACCTTTATTTCTGGAATGCCATCTGCTCCGGAAATTATCGGAGCCATGGATGAGATATCCGATACAGTAAGTGTATTTCAATGTTTATGGCGTCTTCTCTCATTATTTTCTAGGTTTTTGTACTAAAGACCATAATTGAAGCATGTATGTTTAACAATTGCTGGTGTTAGTCTACACTACTTTTGAGTTTCAGGAGCTAACTGGAGTAGTTGATATTTCCTAGGTATGTTCAGTTATTGACTCTGCAGAACTGTGTAGAGCTACACATCCGGACAGGTCAGTATTGATTTTGGATTGATGTTTTGTGATTGTTATTGTTATTTTGATTAGTCTGTAAAAATTTTCTGTTCACTTTGCAATTAAGGGAATTTGTTGAGGAGGCAAGCGAGGCGTCCCTGAGGATTAATGAATATATTCATGTGAGGCGGCAAGTGGTTTATTCGCTCTCTTACTATCTTTACAAGTTCTAGTGTTTGTAATTAGGATAAGCAATCTGATTATATGTCAATCAGATGAATAAACCAGAATACAGCGGATCTTAATTATGAAACCAACTAAGTTAATTGAGCCAGCAGATAATGTTGGTTAAGTATTCCTTTGCTTCTTTACCTACTATCAGTCACAAAAGGAAAAACTCAACGCAGAGGATGTACACTTGTCTTTTATATTGATTCTCAGGAAGCAGGTTTAAGCTAATTTTGTAAGATTTGAATGATTGAATTCATTGGATAGGTTCAACAAAAGTATAAGGTATTGAAGGCCAGAACAAGTACGTCTTACTTGATGATATTCTTCACAAAGGCTATAAAGCAGAATTTTGGTTTTGTGACATAGTTACAAATTATACGTATTTTGTTTGACTGCTGGTAATTATGATATGTAAAATTCTTTAATTTGTGGAGATTTTATGGTTTCTTTTGGTTCAGTTCTTTTATCAGTCAAAGTGAATTTTTCTCTCTCATGTAGCATCTTAATACAAATCATTGCCTGTACATGGCGGTGGTAAAAGCTGAGCAGGATTCCCATTTGCTAAATGAAGAAGCTCAAAGAGTAGCCCATCATTTACGTCTTGACTTGGAAAAGGCTGGCATTCATCTGCCTAGTGGTGCTTATCTTTTCTGAAATAGTTGCTTCCTGCATTTGATCTTTTGCCCCAGCTAACTAACTAACTCTATTTCGTTGGTCCTGCAGAACAGTTGGATCGAGCTAATCAGCTTAATATGGAGATTGTTCAGCTGTGCAGAGAGTAAGTACCCCCCACATAAATGAACACGCATAACATGTTTTGTTTCTTTAAGTCTTCACATAAGGTCTGAGATTGTTGGTGGTTTATATAATGCCTGGGCAAAGGTTGGTTTGTTGTTTGTTCTGTGCAGCGGGAGCATAAATATGTTGCACTACTATTTTCTTGCCATTATTAGGATTTTTCAGTATGCTGCTATTTGAGTTTGACTTTTCACAAAGCAATGGTTTTACTTTACCATGCACTATTCCCTTTAAGTAGATTACGGTATCACTTTCCTCCAGGAAAATTCATGAATTATTTACTCATTTTCCTATAATCAATTCACGTTTTCTTTGCCATCTTCTCTTCAGTGAGAAACACAATGTTTGGTAAATCACAATGCTGGGTTTATGGCTGTGCTGAGTGTCAAAAAATGTTGCCTTTCATTGTAGATTTCTGATACCACAGCAATCTGGAAAACTACTATTTTTTTAGGGAGGTACCCATGGTTTGAATAGCTACTAATGTTGGAAAAGTGAAACTTTTTTCTTTCTGTAGAGGGTAGCAATAAGAGTTGACTAAAAACAATGAGATCTGTTGCACCTTCTCCTTCTTATGCAGATCTTACTTACTTTTGCTTCAACCTTCTAATTTCTGCTCTATATGAAGATTGAAGCACTAAATCTCTTGCCTTACGTGTCATTGTGGAAGCTATTTGATTTATTCTGTTTAACTTTGGTCATTTCCTAAAAATGGTTCTGGATTATTTGACAATGACAATGAGATCCTATTTTGAAGAGTTCAGAAGCTGAATGTGCGGAGATGTTACTCTTGCAAGGTAGGATATTTTGATTAGGCTGAGTTCTACTTGGCCAGAAATTGGAAAAACTGTAGGACTGAATCCTGATGTTTAGTTGTTTTCTATTATCACTTTGAATCAAAGATATCACAATCTGAGTCTATGCACTGAGTACTTGATTGCGCTTCCATTCCTTCTTTGCATCTTGCAATTAGTTTTCAGCATCAGTGACGCATGGTGCCCTTTATTTGATTGTGAGACATTATCTATGTATTTCTTGTTTCTATCAGGTTCAATGAAAATATTATCAATGATCCAGGTCACATGGATATCTTTCCAGCATCACACATCCCAAAAAAGTTACACCATCTTGCTAGGCCTATCTATCGGACTACATCAGGTGCATTTGGGGGATCAGCATGGTCTATGACAAACATGAAAGAGAAGGGCTTTCGATTACCAACCGATCCAAATACTCTCTCCTCTATTCTGCAATGGGTATCAGATGCTGAGGTAGGAACAAATTACATATCAATGAACTTAGATGATAAAGCTTGTATTAAACTATATATTGTACAGCCCTGGTTTCCAAAACTTTTGTCTGTGTCCTGTTTCCTTCTTTCAAAGATCATCTTCCTTCTTGAATGAAGTGCTAAATTTTCTCAAAAACTTTCAATCTGACATTCAGACTCATAATTTCTTCTTGTTCAGATTAGGAAAACCGCTTATATACAAGGAAACTCTGCCCCACTTGGAAATCTTGGTGTCCTCGATAAGCTTATTGCAGCTCGTCATGAGTTTGCTCAGGTTAATCTTATTCACTTCACTTCCTTTCCATTGGACGAATCTACTTTAATCTGTCGGTCTAATTGCCCATCTAAAAGTTGGTCTGCGTGATTTTATTTCTGAGTTTCTCCATGTGAAGTCTGATGTTTAACTTTAATGAGGTTCTGTATATTGTGAGTCGAATGAACTGTCGCATTATGTGAACAGCTTGTATTGTGAGTCGAATGAACTGTCACACTATGTGAGCAGCTTTTCTTGTTGATAGCTGCCATATTTCTATATCAAACCTGAGCAAAAAGTCCTCCAGATGCCACAGGAAGTAGAGGTGTATATTTCATTGCAAATGTCTTTTGCAATACCCATCTCCAGTGAACTAACACACTTTTCTTTGTATGCCATTTTTCTTGCCTAAAATGACTACTTTCTCTTTTCTTGGTGCTTTCCTTCTTTCAGTGCATTTTTTTAATTCAAGAACCTGAAGGGAATTTTATGGCGTGTATTCCATCGTACTTCCTAGTTTTGCATCTTTACCCAAATGTCTGATAATAAATGTTAGATCTGTATGCCATTAACACTACTTTCTCTGATCTGATTTCAGTCAGATAACGTGATCAAACTCGACTTTGAGAAATTGAATATTGATTTTATGTCCTTTCTTTCTTTTCTTTTCTTTTTTTTTAAAGGATACTATTAGAAGGTTAACTTGTATGTTAAAGTAAGAATTGGTCTTCTACACCTTTAATTCTTGTCTTTCCTGGAAGAAGTCTCTGCAGAAATTTGACATCGTAAGCAATGCCTTATTTTGGATGCACATGCAGATTATGGGCCATAGTTCCTATGCAGATCTTGCTGTTCACTCAAGTATGGCTTCATCACCTGATATCGTATTATCGTTTTTGCTTGAAATGAGCGAAATAGTTAGACCTAGGGCTGATGAGGTACACTACTTAGTAAAACTCGACAATCACAACAAATTCCATTTTCCTTGAGGCAAGTTTAATTTTGTCGATAACTGAGTATATTTTCATTGCAGGAGTTTAAGACAATTTGGAATTTCAAGAGAGAGAAAAGTGGCCAGCTCTATGGAGACTTGGAGCCATGGGATGAAACATACTTTACCGCTATAATGAAGTCTGCAGTTTATGATTTAGATTCCTCGGTATATTCTGCAAAACCTGCATGCATTGTAGTTTGTCATTTATATTCCGTTCCTACTATAGGCTAGCTTCTTATTGTCCATGTAGTTTGATATTGTTTATACTGTTAAACCATGAATGAGCAATTGTTAATACTGGTGCACATGTTTAGCTTTTGCCTTTATACTTAAACAGTGGGATAGCTTTCATGGAAACTCAACATACAAAGCCTACCTGCCCCAAGCAAGTTGTTATTCTGTTTTATTTTGCTTGATCATGACTCAGTAGATTGGTTTTGGAACCACGACTTTTCAGCACTGGTTACTTTAGTTTAAAAACTTGCAAAACTTAATGGGGACTTAAATGCAATTAAGTCAATAGGTGAGAAGGTAAGAAATCGATTTGCCTTAATGTAGATTTGGAACAAATAAGGGAGGCTTAGAACAACTATTTAGATGATTGGTTGAGACTGCTCGCATCCAGATTTTTATTAGTAGCAAAGGACTGGGTTTCTGTTTGTACCTTATCCTGATACTGAGAAGGGAAATTTGACTTATTCCTTTAGCTGCTAATAGTAGATTAAGGACTTCCACTTTTAGTCATTCAGAAACTTTAGTCAACATTAAGAAAACCTAATTAATAAATGAGGGTCTAATATTCAAGAACTATTCTCTGCGCATATTTAAGTCTTCCAATCCTTGTAAGGATGTACAGGTGGGTGCATTGGCACCAACTAATATCTTTATTGTAAATTGTTGGTAACTTTTTCCCAGTAGCTGGAATGCTGCTCATTATTTGTTGTTCACATTGCCTACATTTTTAGCAATTGCATAATATAAGAAAAAAATTGAGCAAAAGTCATCGTCAAATGCCTTTGTGAATGTAAGATGGTTGACAATAGGATGGCTTTAATTGCTAAAGCTATTCCACTTGTTGCTATGTGTAATTTCTGCAGTCCCATATGTTGCTGTATAGACACTTTGTTGTGTTTGCTTAAATATTTGTTCAATTACCTTATTCTCTTCAAATTGCAAATAGTAGGCTCTTTATTTAAATTATATGATTGGCTCTATCCATTAAGCAGGTTGTTGCATCATTTTTTCCTTTATCCCAATGTCTTGAGGGCTTGAAAGTTCTTGCTGAGTCGTTGTTTGGTGTGACATTTCACCATATTCCTCTTGCCCCTGGTGAATCATGGCACCCAGACGTCATTAAAGTAGCCCTACACCACCCGGATGAGGTCAAATATGGGTATCTTTTACACTGTCCAATTTAAATCTCTTTTCTTATATGCTTCCATGCTGAGCATCTAATGAATATGCATTTTGCCTACATGTCTTTATTTTGTTTTGGTAAATTACATGATTATCATGAGCAAAGATGAAAATCTGATTTCAGTGATATGTCATGCCTAAAGTTAGTGTTTTCCCTTATTGACAACTTTTGTGCCCTCCACGAAGACCTCTTGCAATTAATTGAGAAATGGAGATCATGGTGTCAGGGAGGTTTAATTTTACCAAATGCAAATTCTGGAAAATTTTTGTGCAGTCTCGCATTATAATCATCATCCAATTGCTACTTGGAAAACTGGAGTATGTAGTAATCAGCAACTAATGTAGTCTCTCATAGTCATCTGAGCTGATCTAGTTGAGCATCAACGAATATGTTGGTTTTCCTAGAAACCAGTGGTCATGCTCAGGTGCCATATGATAGCGAATAATAGGTTATTGAATTGACCTTTACAAAGCACATATCCCAATCAGTTTCTACAGCTTTTTCAATTGATCATGAATGCTTCTGTGAGTTCTTAATGCCTACATCCTTTAAACGAGTCGTAGTCTTTTAAACTGCAGGGTGACTTAGGGTACTTGTACCTTGATTTGAAATCGAGAAAGAATAAGCATCCTGTTTGTGCTCATTTTGCTATCAAAGGGGGACGTCGATTATCTGAAACAGATTATCAACTTCCTGTATGTGAGGTTCTTTCTTCTTTATTCTCATTCTACAATTTCCATCTGGAAATTGTGATGGCACACGTTTATAATCTGTGGTATCTTATGACCACTGGATGTGAAATGTTGATCATTCTACATCTTCTCCTGGAATATATGATATTATGCTTTAGAATTGTGGTATTGAGTTCTGTGCTTGAAATGCTGATCACCTTTAGCAAATTTCATTCTGATACAAGGAAATGAGGTCCTTGACCACTGAATGAAATCAAATTTTCAAACTCATATCTTGAATTCAATGGTGGGCGTTGCCATTCTTGGGTATAGATTGTTTATTAGCATGAAGGTCTCAAAGGCAGGAAACTTTGTGTTTGCTTAAATGCTGAGTAGAAGTTTCCCCCATGGGAAGTTTAACAGTTCTAGATGTTATTCCATAGTTTGTAAAACTTGGTTTTTGACTATTTATGCCAATCAGACTTTACTCAGCTTTTTCCTGGTCAGAATCCAGGACTTATGCAACATGAGTCATGTCAATCGATGTACAGGCAGTGTCAGGATAGTCATGCAGAGGTTAAGTTGAGGTCCTGGTGATGCATGACATTCATGAGAATTTTTGGTAATTTTTTAGCTGTACCATGCTACATACAACCTTCTTTAGTTGCTCTGGATATTTTTATGTGTGAACTCGAGTATACAGATGATGCAAGCAAATATAGTAATGTGATCAGAATGATGCTTGGCATTCTTTGTATGTGCCTGGGAAACACATATTAACAAATATCTTATGATTGCAGTAAGAAATAGATCTGTGCATATGATGTTTATACTGGATATAACAGACTTCTTCTTGATAACCTGCAGATTGTAGCCCTAGTCTGCAACTTCTTGGGCTCTAAACCAGCATCTTTACTCAACCACTGGGAAGTAGAAACACTTTTCCATGAGTTTGGACATGCACTTCATTCATTGCTTTCCAGAACGGTATCTGATGAATGGGATGGTAGTTGACTAGTTTTTACTTTGTTTTTCTTATTTGAAGTGATTGTTTGCCCTTGATGATCTGGTATGCAGGATTACCAGCATTTTTCAGGGACCAGAGTTGTTATCGATTTTGCTGAGACACCTTCCAATCTCTTTCAGTAAGTGAAATTCTCATTTATTCTTGCGTAACTGCTAGACTTGGGGATTATCTGCTAAATACTTATGGGCAATTCTCACTTAATGCATTACATTCTATCATCCTTTTTTTTGGTGCTTTCTACATTAATGCTGCCATTTTTTGGTTTGTTGGATTATGATGGCACTGATAATGAAAACCTTGAGGATAATTACTTGTTGTTTATGTTGTCCACCAATACCATCACGGACATTGCTGTTAAATTATAGGTAAAAAACTTTAGGTGATGTAGGTCAAAGTCATCTCATAAAAGTCAGTCATCCTTTTAGTTGGTTTTCAAATTAGGTACTATGCTTGGGATTTTCGGATCCTGAAGACATTTGCTAGGCATTATTCTACCGGTGACGTAATACCTGAAGATTTGGTGAAATCCATAAGGGGAGCCAAAGATATGTTTTCTGGTACTGAGTTGCAGCGACAGGTTTGTAGTTTAATGGTTGAAACAAATTGAATTTTACTTCCCCGGGTAGTGGGTGATGCATAAAGATTGACTGATGTATTCGTCTTTCGTCAGATATTTTACGCTTTAATTGACCAAAAGTTGTTTGGGGAAGAGGCATCCTCCATAAGGGATACTGCTTCAATTGTAGCGGAATTAAAAAGACAACATACCAGTTGGAAGCATGTTGATGGCACACATTGGCACACCCGATTTGGTCATCTTGCATCATATGGGGCAGGTATCGAACATAATGAAGAGTTACTAGATTATTTGCCTATCTATCTTATACTTAATCTTCAAAAACTAATGCCATCTTGAAATGAGTAGGATGTGTCTTTTGCAATTTGCTTGTTTTGTATTTGATTGTTTTACGTGACAGTTCTTTCATCTTTTGGTACCAATGATAACCAAATAATACGCATTCACATTTCTTCTGATGCTGTTTCCACCACTATTCCGTTTCTGTGATGGTAATGAGATGTTTGCTTCCCAACTCTGTGAAGGATATTACAGCTACTTGTATGCCAAATGCTTTGCTGCAACAATATGGCAAAAGATTTGTGAAGAGGATCCGCTCTCATTAGCCGCAGGATCTGCTATTAGGCACAAGTTCTTGCAGCACGGAGGAGCCAAGGATCCTGGTGATATATTAAATGATCTCGCGGGAAAAGGTATCTTAAATTCTCGTTATGGCGGTATAGTTCCTGACATTACAAGCCTGAGTCATGAAATGGAGCTAAAGAATTAGCAACCTGAAGTGGTGACTGTACAAGAATCGGAGAAGTTGAGTTAGACGGCAAGAAAACACATTTGTAGGTGTATTATGTACAAAACCATCTACGGCTCAAGTGAACAAGTGGCTGCTGCTGTTCTGTCATCTTGACGTTCCAAGTCACAAAGAAAGTTGACGCATCAAGATTACCACCACAACCACTGGGCCATTGGCTCAGTGGCCACTGGCCACCACCTAGTTGGTGATCCCTTGCCTCCCATAAAAAATGTCACATTTAAGTGGCTTGTTTTAAAAAAAAATTCAGGCGGATGTGCTGTGTATCTGTCTAGTCCGGTGGTAGTTCAGTCCCCTCCGGATTATTTCTGGGCCTCCTTAGGTCCGCCCCTTTCCCCTTAGTGTAAGATAGATTAGGTTTATCGTCTTTGAAAAAAAAAAAATCAAGATTACCACCACTTGTAGGTGTATTCTGCAAGCGTCAAACACTAAATAGGGCCCCGGTTGGCATAGAGCTGTCTTGTATCGTCTTGACGCCTTTCGATTGTCTTGGCGACTGTAGACATGTACTCTTATCAATCGCTTATTTAGACATAAAAATAAGAAAAACCGGCATTGGCAGCATTTTGGTCCTGTCCGCATTGAAAAAGTACAGAAATAGAATAGCTATTTTGCTGTTGCTTGTTTGTATTGTGATTTTTTGTAAAAAAAAATTTACATTTTTTGTGAACATATTTTTTACTTTTTCTTTTATTTTACATACATCAAATTATTATAGTATATTTTTTTTTACAAAAAATTCTAAAAATGCCTATCTAAACAAAGTTGCTGGCCTAATTTGCTATTTTCTTTCACGTGACATCTTATAAGCCAACCATCCAATTCTTTAAACATAGCATTTATACCCACAGGTCCACTGACAACACTTTCGCGATGAAAAATCCAATAGTTGGGGTAATTTTAAAGCTAATCATTCAAGTCAATTCGCAGATTCCAGCGCGAATTCGTAGTACACAATGCACTCGGTATACAGGATTCCAACTGCAGTTCGTTATATAAAGATGGGTAAAGAACAGTTAAACGAGGTTGTAAAATCTCATGAAGCGGTGATTATCAGCCTCCAAAACTGGGTTCTTTCCATCTAGTAAAATTTTCTACCTTGTTAGCCCAACAGGGGTATACTCACGTTCAACTGTCATTACCCACTCCTGGATAACGGGATTGACTACTGCTGGAAGTTCATCATGGGGGCAATGACCTGGGCATTAATAGCAACAAGGAAATTGTTTTCAGTTAATATGCGATGCTTTATAACATCAATGTAAGAGAAGATCAAACCATAGGAACACAAGGTTGCCTCAAAATTACCGCCATCCAGTTCTTTAGTAACAATCCCTTTGCAATGCTCTCTAAGGCAAGCTAGCTTAGCCCTGGAATCACAAAGTGGATCTCTCATGCCCTAAAGAACATAATCATGAATTATAAACATTAGCACTAGACAAAGGAAACATGACAAAGTAAAAACCCTTTATCCAAGCTATAGCACATAAACCTGTATCGCAAGAACCTTCCTTTCAAATCGTTCCAATAGATAATTGAGAGGAACTGAAAGATCAAAGCTGAAAACGCATTCCAAAACCACCGATACTCCAGGGTCATGCGACTACAATTTTTTTATTAAGGTCATAGCAGTTATATAGTTAAGCATGTTTTCTGAAAGGAAAAAGCATAACACATAAATTTATTGATACTTGAGGCTTAAACAAAAAGCAAGGAAAAGATGTTTGAACTGCCTCATAAAGGATACAGCTCTCAACATCTCATCAATAAGCCAGTCATCTGCTTGATCCATTTTCTGCACCACATAATTTATGAAGCAAATATTAGACGATAATAGCAATTGAAAATGTAGGAAACAAAGGTAAAGCGAGTCATACAGATGGGTAAAAGCTCTTCACTATGTTCCTAATGTTGAACCTCAAGTAGAGCAAAAGGAGTCTAGCACCCAACCATGCTGCACCAGGAGTTTGCCTATCCTGAAATGTTGATTGAAGTGGGTGTGCATCAAGAAATTGATAGCTGATGGCAAGCTTAGACAACCATTGCTAATCTAAACATTAAAAAGGTGCTAGAAATTTTCTTCTTTCCTTTCCCTTTTCCCCTCTTCTGCTGCATTGAAATGAAGGTGCGGGGCAGTGTGCAAGCGAGAAAAGTAGTGTTGCCAAAAAAGTATTAAACGGAAACCACCAAATACTTATAAAATTATCTTACTTCAGACAAACGGATTGCAGAATATTCAGGAATAACATTGCCAGCACTGTTTATGAGGATCACAGACTTGACTAAAGCAGGCCAAAGCCCAGCAACAATAGCAACAAAGTAGCCTGGCAGTAGAAAAAAGGGAATCAGTACGGGGAATTAAAATAGATAAGATACATATGCATTTTTTCAGCATAGATCTAAGTTAGGTAGATCAGTTTTTCTTTCATATTTCCAAACCTTTTTCCTACTTTTTTTGTAGGGTTTAGGAACATACCACCAATTGAATTCCCAACAAGGTGCACTGGTTCCCCAACAACTTGAATCATGAAATCTCTAACCAGTTTGGCCCACATGACTTCAGTGTAAACAATATTTGGTTTTTCTGATTTGCCAAACCCTAGAAGTGTGACTGCCCAAACTCGATTCCCACTGTCAGCTATATGACTTATATTGTAACGGAAATGTTCGAAAAAAGCACCAAAACCATGTACTAGGAGAACAGCAGGACCTTCATTGCCGGAAACAGTATACTGAGGACAGGAAATCATCATAGCAGCCAAGATTAAGATTAAATTTAGAATTACACAACCAAAATAAATCCCTTCTACATGTCAAAAATTGCCAGGTAGTTAAAGGAGTTGAAAACACTCACATGGATTAAATAGCCATTCCATCTCCATATCCTAACTGAGTAAGTTCCTCGCTCAATTATTTGACTTCTTAAAGCCAAAAGCCAATACCACTGACACAAGAATCAGGGAAATCTTAAAATAAGTTCAAAGGAAACCAATAACTAGGATAAGCCTTTCAAAAGTAGTTATACAAAAGTCAAGCTAGTTTGCCACAGAGAATCATGTTAAAAAATAGCTGGAAGTGTAGAAACTACCTCCATTGAGCAGACAGTATCGACTGCTGCAGCTACAGTGATTGCTGAATATCCAAAAGGAGATAAAAACCCACCACTTCGTTCTTTCTCGTACTTAATTGCCTCATGATACACTCTTCTTCTGGAAATGATTCCAAGTAGAAGAGCAGATCCAAAAAGGGCACCAAATGAGGCTCCTCCTCTACTTTCTGCCTGACGCAGTCTTTCATGTACCCTGCAACGAGAATAGAAAAAAATCTAAGATGTAAGCCACACATTACCTGAATAGAAAAGTAAGCCACATATTAACTGAACAAAAAAGTACAAAAGGGTCTAATCCTGAAATCAGGATTTTCGAGTTTGTATTTTTTCACCGAATGAGATGAGCTGCATAATACAAGTTTTACTTCTGAAAGTTCCTGCTCAATAGACAACGCTGAAAGATTCAGTTGTTGCCCAGAAAATGGCAACAGAGAGACACACAGAAGTGACTGTGGTGTACAGCTACATGTTACTATCAATGAGGGAACTAAGCCATAAGCAGTCAACAGAATATAGCTGGTTTTACTGTCCTACCATTCAAGGACCTCAAAGAAATGGCTCACTTTCAGTAGCCGACCAACAAATTTATAAAGACAAAGACTAACAGTCTAAAATAGAATTAGATAGTGAAAAAATTTTGTCCAAACATCCTCACACCAAGGTTGCCAATACGTACTCCTGCCATTCGCCACGGGCAGTACCCTCCAGATACCGCAAATATGCAGCTAGAGCATTAAGCACGTTACCCGTCCCACCTCCAACTGAGTTCTTTTGTTGAGTCACAAATGCTGATCTTTCTGATCTTTTCCTTTCAGTTAAGTTGCTACTTCCCATATCTCGATTGCTTTCCATCAAAGCTGCTCCATTGACACCTCCAATTTTTCCTTGCGTCACAACCTGGTCTATCTCAAGCTCACTCGTACTCATAATTGATGTCAACTTATTCCTTGATGTCCCAACCTCAATCACAAATTTCTTCAAATCATACAACGTTGGTAGATCGCCTGGTTCACAAAGGCACCATGATTTTCGATAGTAGAGTCAAGACAATAATGGCATTGCAGAGTTCTTGAATTTCTGGCAACAGGAAAAGAGAATAAAAAATTAAAAGTTCTGGTTTGTAAAGACATACCCCAACTTAAATCCATCTCCAGACTGGGCAATTTAGTTGGCAAAACAGGAGAAACAACAGGCAGCTTCAACTTTTTAAAGCCATCGTACGATTCTGGCATATCCTCCAAGTTCTACAGTTAATTAACACAAAAGACCAAGCACTGAGGACTCATATCTGGAAAACGAAACGTTCAAAACCAAGAAAAGCATGTTTTACCTTCATACCATAAAATGGTGTTCTCCACATAGTCATCCTAGGGTACGCTTCAGCAGAAGATACAGTAGCTAAAGCCAGAGCCTCCTTAACTGCATCCAGCATTCTACGCAACTCATACTCTACCTCTTCTTCTGCATATATGCTCGTGGCCTTGACCTGTTCCAGTCCGCATGATGAATGAAGGAAACAAAATGAGTTGGAAGAGTAGCGTGAGGTTGTCCTGGCCCGATAAATGTCAGATACAATAAAGCGAATTCAAAGTGGAGAAACCTCTCTGGCAAGATGTTGAATGACAGTCTCAGCATTCCCAAACCTGATCATCAAGTTAGACCCTTGACCCTTGAGAGACTTCCTTAAATCCTCCAAAGCGAAAAGGAGGAGTTGGAGCATTTCATCAGAAAAACCTGACCAATCATGCCGACAATCAAGATCAAGTAGCATTTAACATTCACAAAAAAGTTCCATTCCACGAGTAAAGGCATTCGTCAAATTAAGTAGAAAATGCAGAACTTAATTCTTCAACATATCCGATTAATAGGAAAAATCTCGGCAACAAATACACAGTACTTCATACTAGAAAAAAAGTTATAGTTGTGATATTTTGTGTGTGTGTGTGTGTGTTGAGCGAATGGAGAGAATAGCATACGCGAGAGAATGCGATGATCAAAAATGTACAGAGGGAGAAGCATGGGATGGTGGTGGGAGGCGGCGACAAGGGCAGGGTGATCGTCAATTCGAAGATCATGCTTGTACCAGATGATGGCAGCACCTTTGCTGCTGGTCTCCGCCGCACCTAATTCTGGCCCCAAGTTTGCTCGAACTAGACGCGACATTTCAAATTTCAGGGCAGGCGAAGGCAGAGTAAAAGGGGAGGATGAGGAATAATGCTTGCGTCTGGGGGGGAATGGCGGGTAAGAAGAAAAAAGCGGGCAAGAGAAGAGCGCCGCCATAGATGAGCATTATAAAACGACTAGTAATTAGAAGAAGCAGAGAGCAGCAAGAGGGAAAGGAGGAGGAGAAACGGCAATCCATCAACGATGAGAATAATGCTTGAAGGTGTTTCTTTTAATTTGAGTCTAGTGTGTGTTTCTGCGTGAAATCCAGAAAGGAGAGAACAAGCGGCCCTCGTTTTCACTGAGGTTCGAAGAAGAGTAGAATTTGTGGCGCACAGATTTTGAGTT